CCAACTCTTGGACTACTCTTTTACCAACGAATAGCGTGATTGACCGTCACTGTATAACTCCCCCATGGCTGAAAGGGCGAGCATATTTGATGAGACTGGGATTCGAACCCGCGACCCGCAGACTGCGAGTCGAGCTCCTTAACCACCTGGCCATGCCGGGCCGGCTCAACTGTCACACCCACATAAGAGATCCTCGAACCTCCTTATTTTTTCAGGTTCGGCCTTCTCTGCTTTGCCGCAAATCCTCGAGATATCACATGAGCTAGTATTTATACTTGATTTGCATGCATATTCACTCGAACAAGAATTGAAGTTTGTGTGTGTGTGCGTGTTTTTTTGTAAAACATTGTAGTATTTAGTTTTATACAGAATTCAAGTTAAATTATTGAATCTATGTTGCTTCATACGAAGACAGCGCCAAACCGATTATTTAATTCCAACGTGAGTTACAACATGCTGTACATCGGACCGCCACATCATAGTTGGTGGCAAGAAGTACAACTTACGAGGTCAGAAATGATTGTAACGTGGTGCTAACGAAGTCTACAAACTATTGTATTACATACAACGAAAAAGTGGTGGAACTGAAGTCATAAAGTGTATGGGAAATTTAAGAATAAGGTAACTAAGCTAGTGGATTAGATGTTAAAAAGTTACCGGTTCACTAATAATAGTATATTTAACGTTATTAATTTAATGAATACTAAAATAGTATCATTAGTGCTATTACCATTAGTATTGCAGTTTAAACAGCGAAATTTAATTAACATACGAGTAATTGATTTTGAAATATAATTTTCCTAGAGATTTAAACTCGTACATGCCATGGTTAAAACTTAAATTTCCTGTTTTTGTTGCCGATTTTATTTTAACTGTAATTATCCTCTTCTCTAAGAAGAGATCGTTAACTTTTACTAATATGATAAATAAAATACTCTGAAAGATTCGAAATCGGAGCCTGTATCGATTCTTAACATTACACCTGTGTATTGTAAGAGTACTCGACTTAGACTTTACAGGCGTTAAAGCAATGTAACTGGTCCAGAACAAAATTTGGACCCTGAAGTCTAACTATGTTTTGTAATCAGTTTCATTAAATTACCTGATGCAATTTAGTGGAAGAAATTGATAAAAACAAAACTATCTTTTTGACTAAGCCTTACGTACTTCGGAATAAGGAAGTTTAAGAGTTTTACATTATTTAAGAGGTGTAAGGTAATGTACAGGACTATAAAACTTATAACTAAAAGTTAAAACCTGCAGGAGGAACATTGGTATTTCAATGAAAAACTATGATTATCGATAAAATTTGGGTATAATAGTTATAAGTATGACCTCTTAAAGCCCCAAACTAATATGTTCTATGGCAAATTTACTTCTCATTTACTTGTGAAATTGTTGACTGGTTTTTAGTTATGTGACGTATGCTGTTACTTTATGTTCATCTGTTTGATAAATATATCGATATGAAGGATTACATATTGTTATGATTATTACAACTGATGAAGAAATGGCCTCAATAAGCCAGATCTTTTGTAGCCATGATTCAAAGTAGCTTCAGCCTATAATGATTTATTTTAGCTTTAGGATAGTCAAAATGAGTAATTTTTGTAGATGTGACAGACTAAATATATTTGTTTTATTCTGTGAAAGATACAAGTATCTAAAATTACTGAATATAATGTTTTCACTGAATTTATTTTATTCATGAAATTATTAATTTTTGATAGTTAATTTGACTGTTATGAAGAGGCATTCATTTATAGTAAGTAAAATTATTTTTTGTCTTTCAGATTGAAGTTTTCAGTGCATAAAAATCAAAGCATTTATTTTAAATATGGACTTCAATGAAACATTAAAGCAGGTTGGAGATTTTGGGATATATCAAAAGCTTCTCTGTGTCTTCCTTATTTTTTCATCAGCTGCATTAAGTGCATTGGTATACTTTACTCAGTTCTTTATCATAATGGTTCCCAAACACTGGTGTTATATTGAACAGCCTTTTAACTTAAATTTCACCGAAGAGGAGTGGAAGAACTTCACTTTACCAAAAGGATCAGGTTCAAAACTTGATTATGATCAGTGTAAACAATACAATATAAACATAACAGAAATCCAGCAAAATATTTCCATGGGATATCCATTGGTATTAGAAGATTTGGAAATAGTACATTGTCAGAAAGGATGGAAGTATGATTTTTCATCATTATATCCAACTCTTGCTACAGAAGTATGTATTTTTGTTTAATTGTTTTTAAAGGGTTAAATTCATACTGTTGTTTAATTATGATTATGTTAACATGTTGGTGTTTGTAAACTGTATTGAAAAGGAACTTGTATATCCAGAAATATCTATCATGAGACAGTTTAACTTTTGTTTGGAAGGTTTTATGTAATTGTAGGTTTTTATGTCCCAATTTCATAAAGTTGTTTAACATAAGAATGTAACTTTTGACAGTAGTTTTCCAAGTACTTTGAAAATGCCCCACTTCTGTATTGATTTTTCAAATTCACACAGATCTTGCTAGTTGATGTAACAGAGTGCTGTGAATCAATGAACTTCAAAACTATTTATTGATTTAATTTGTTTTTATAATACATGTATTATAGTTTGGTACAGGTTTCAGATGTTGTTAAAGTATGTATTAAAGAACTCTTGTATCAGATATTTAAGGCCTTTCATCTGTGTTTTAATAAAAATTGTGAAATTACGATATATTTGGGAAGCTACTGATAGTAAAATTTATATATGTGTGCGTGTGTGTCTATATATATATATATATATATATATATATATATATA